AGTGTAGTGTTTATTCTTGCATGTTTATATTGTAAAATACGTGTTGTTAGGACTAAAGTCTGGTGTAAAATGGCTGGAGTCACTTTTGACTTCCATTATCGCTATCACTACCTCGCGGTGACCTGGTTTGCATGTAAGTGGTTCGTGGTTTCTAACTAGTGGTGCTGGTGGTGGTGGGGGTCAAAACTGAACCTCACAAATAATTTCACAGTGGTGTAGTTATGTATTTATTCTTGCATGTTTTATATAGTATAAAGGCCTGTAAAATCAGTATTTACGTTGTCCAGTTTGCAGTCCGTAATATGTTTTAGATGGATGGACTTAGTATGGGGTTCTAGTTCTGTTGTCCAATCCTTCAATCATAGCTGTATGTGTATTTTTTTATATAATATGATTGTAAAGTTAATAAAAAAAAAACAAAAAAAAAAACGCACAGATCTTGAATTTTAATATATCATTATGTGGGTAAATTTATAAGAAGCAAGCCCATTGCTGGCATATACTACAACTCCCTTATCCACTTGTAGGTATAAAACTACAATTAACACAGAAAACAGGCTGGACTATTTTATATTACTATAGTCTTTTATGGTCACTGGCATTGCACTGATTGCAAATTAATGGGTGGTATTATTGAGATGCTGGTTCGTGCAATGGAAGCTCAGTCTGTTTACGTACAGTTGAAGGATCTTGTAGATGGAAATAATTGAGTGAAAATGTATTTACATTCATTAGACCTAACCAGGAATCTTTGATCAGCAGGGACGTAGTGATTGACAAAGGGTTTGGGGCCACTGTGAAACTCAACATTCAAGTATAAATTTTGACATTTTCAGGTAAAATTTGCATATAATTAATAAAGTTGTTATTTTTGTGAAATGATAGCCATTTTTTATACAGTCAATTTAATAGATCCAATTTGTTTGCAAATGTGATTTTTGAAACACCAGAAATGCAGTAGTGGAGCTTCAAAAATGTAAACATTTCCTGGGGGAGGACCTCCACAACCCCTTTTCTTAGGAAATTTAGTATTACAGTGGAAATCAATCACAAAAAGCTCTATTATATAATTATTATACTTCAGGTAGATTTTTAACATTGAAGTTCAGATTTCAGGTAAAGTTCTCCGATATCCCCCCCCCCCCCCCCAATGTCAGATGCTTTGCTACGTCCCCGAAGATCAGTGCAATCACCATACAACATTAATCCTTGTAGTTGTGATGGTATATGAAAAAGCAAATGCACAGCCATTGTGCTGAGGTCATATTGACAAGTTTCAACCTTTCTTGTCCATTTTCAGCATTTATTAAGTTAAACATGCTTGCAAGTAATGAACCAGCCGGGAATCGTAATCGTTATGCTGGGCATTAATCTTTATAATAAGTTAAACATGGCTCAGTGTCAATTGAGTAGCATGTTCATACTTTATAGCTAAAGTTAAATGTTGTTTAAATTTATACCTGCATCTTTTACAATATTTCATTTGCAGATAAAAGCACAATTCAAAATCATAGTGGTGCATGACTAACATCTACAGTACTTCAAACAACCATGTCAACACATATTCTGGACAATTTGCTGATAATATGGTGACTGGTGATAATATTGGATAATATAGGAAGATCAGAATATGCAAGTATCAGGGCAATACAACTATCAGACAAAAGTGATGACACAATTGATTGGATGAGTTGATTATAAATTACGATACTTTTAGATCTTACAATAAATAAAAATGTTTAGAAATCTAGTATTAAATATTATATTAATGAACAACTTTGAATTTAACCCATGATGCACCCTGCATTTTTACTTGTTTAACACCAAACAATTTTACTCGTCAGTGGGAAAGCTCTGCAGCTTAATGGGTTTTTAAAGGTTTATGAAATCTGCGGTGCCAACAATTCAAGAAAAGCTAATAATTTGTAAACCAGACACCAGAATATATTTATAACAAGAAACTCATATAATGAAATCTTTAGTTAGTGAATTACATATTAGTGAAATTTTGAAAAACAATAAAAGTGACATTATTAGTTGCTGAATATATGCTTATTATTAAAGTGTGACTCGATAATATTGTTGGCTGAACCATTGCTACAAACCATATTGCTTTTAAATCGAGTGATTGTAGCCATTTGTTGGCATTGTAAGAAAGATACTGCATCTGTCTTATTTTGTATTATTAATTTTGTATCACAATGAATGTTTGTGATGAATGTTTAAATGACAATGTGAACTCCAGCTGTATTCGACAGGCTGAATAGGCTAGCCACATGTACGCAGTGCGTAAATATATTTTTACATATTGTTATTCTTGTGTTAGTTTGTGCAGTTATGTACAATAATGTGTGGCTGTTTGCATGCGTGCCAAACAAAGCTGTTAAATTAAAATAAAAAATTAAATTATAAAATAGTTCCGAGTTCCAATTTACTGATGTGTGCTATCACTATATTTCTTTAATCTTATTGGATAAAGGTGTGTGCACACGTCATCATTCCTCGTTGCAATTGGACAAAATATTACAAACATATCAATCACGTAATCATGTTTAGTTGTTTTTGAATTTTGAACAAAACAAAAATTCAACAACTACCTCCATAGGCATATCGATGAAACGCCATGGGCACTTGCCCCCCCCCCCCCCCCCCCCCCCCCC